ATCATAAAGTGCATTGCAACGGAATGCATACCATTAGTTATATTCTATAAATAACAACGAAGATGCACCTTCTACTGGTTTGCTTATTACAACTTCCAAAATAATATAAAATCAAACGTGTCTCAAAGAGTTGTTAAGACAGAGTGAGGTGATCGTGAATCTAGGTGGGATATTTGAATGCAGTTTCAGTTTATGTTAAAGCCTTACTATTTTTCTCGACCTAGAATAAGGTATATTGGTTTTGTTTTGCGTAATTGGATAACATAATAAAAAGTACATTAGTTTTTATTCAGATATCCCAGCATCAAAGTAAGATAAAATGAAAAGATTATTATTATTTGTCCTTTGGGTTCCTGAATAGGGACGTCAGGCTTCAGGCCAGGCCTTCGAGTGGAACCCCGATGGAAAGCGACGAGTTGGGCGTCTGAGGTGAGTGTAACATGTAGGAGATCGTGCGAGGAATAAATAAGAGTTTCTGGGCTGTCGTGGAACCAGGTTCAAAAGTTTGCAGAGAACAGAGTGGAGTGAAGACGTGCTACTGAAGCCCTATGTTCCATTAGGACCCCAAGGGACAATAAAAAAATAATAATTAATATGCTTGCCAAAATGTTACTTCAACACACTTCAAAACACAGTAGTAAGTCAGTGACTGAGTCACGCAACAACTGATCTTCATTCTACTTGAAATGGTGACATGGTTTACCTTCAGAAAGTGAATGACAAGATCTTGAAATAGTTTCATTGTCAAATCAACTATTGGTAGGACGAAGCAATACTTTATATGAGATTCGAATGTTAGGTAACACATTCCGAATCCAAATGCTGGCAGTTATTATTAATAATATTTCCTCTTGGGTTCCTACTTGAACATAGGGCTTCAAGAGTACATAACCATCTCACTCTCCCCAATGCAGTCTTTTGAACCTGGCTCCAAGGCAGCCCACAACATTTCATTTCTTCCTCTTACGACTTCCTGCATGTCACCCTCGCCTCAGACGCCCACTTATTTGCTTCCCCTTTAGAATTCCACTCGACGCCATGGCCTGTCGCGTGATGTCCGCAATCGGTCTTCTCAATATATGCTCAATCCAGTCCATCCACACTTTATTCTGCATATTTGTTGGGTGATAAATTGTTGGTTGGCTCGTCGCCAGCCAGCCAGCCAGAGTGAATTTCTTGTTGCTTATCATTTCTGGCCACCTGATCTAATCTTCAGTATCGAGTGAGCGTGGGCGGCAGCTGTTGATAACCTATGTCTGCAGTTTGTTGGAAATGCTTTCGTAACGCGACACGTCTCTCAACTATCACATAGAAGCACTGACTTGACTGACACCAGTGTTGAAAACCCGGATCTTGTTCACGCTTTATGCTGAGTTGAGTGTAGTGCAGTAGATGTTCACAATGATTTCCAATTAATGAAGGCCTGTTTGGCTGCCTTCCCAGTCCTGGCTTTGACGTCCTCATCTGTGTCTGTGCCGCTTGTAGTTGAGACGATGCTAGCTAGGTAGGTAGGTGAAAGAGACAACTTCCTTTACATTTCTCCCGTTGATGGGGATTGGTTCTGGATGTTGTTGTTGTTGTTGTTGTTGAGTATCGTCACCACCTTTGTCTTCTCCACGTTCACTTGAAGTCCCATCTTCGCTGCCCTGCCTCTTCTGTCAACTTGTTGGTTTTTGCCTGTACATCTTCGAATTTGTGCGACAACAAATTCAACACTAAGCTTTTTTTACCAAAACGTGTCAGATAATTGAAGCAGAGGTTGGGTGAATAGCGATGAAAGGCTATGAATCTTTTCCCGGAAGAGTTACGTCTCTGCCCATATCAAGTGTAACACTAATTATTTCCGGATAGTGAAGGTAGATTTGAGCAGATAGTTTCAATAAATAACTTATTATGGTTTCTGTTATTTGTTAGTACTGAGGAGATTTGTTACTATATGCCATTTTAAATCATTTACATATTCACTTGGTTGCTTATAATGAGAAAGTGAACATATTTTAAGTACGAATACGGTCAAAATGATCACAAGAAGTTGGAGGAGCGTAGCGGGAACCTTCACCAAGACATTCGGTTCCATGGTAACTCCTGCGGTGTTGGTGAGTTGGAATTACTTCATGACTTTCAGTTTCATTTACAATGCTATATTGTCTTGTGTAAGTAGCATACAAACGTGGCTGGAAAGCCGAAAGTTTTGTCTAGCGATTCAAACTGTTCATGAGCATGAAAATCTAAACTGCACATCCACACAACTGTATACAGTTTGGAGCAATCTAGCAAACAAATTCTAACTCTTCAGATTAACAGAGGTTTCAATTTTGAGGTAGCATTCATCACGAAATGACATCGCGTTTTGTCGGAGGGCTTGTCTTCACTGATAGTTCTGTATCTGGGCCGCTGGTGGTATTTCTAGACGTGTTGCAGGTGGTGGTCGATTCAAGAGTTTTGAAGTGTTCAGCCTATCGTTTCCTTTGTTCCTACTCTTTGGTGGTAACTGGGTTCCCTTCGCTATCTCTCATTGGTTTCATCGGTGTTCATCTCTTCCCTAGCAGATAGTAACCAGGTTATTTGATGTAATGTTGTCAGGACTCCGTCTCTCCTACCTGCAGCCTGTTCTGCTTCACTTGCCAATGTGTCGTAGAAGTGTCTTTTTACTTTCCACACACTCTTCTTCACTCCTTTCTACAGTGTAGTGTTTTATATGTTGTACTGAGTTCCTCTTTCTTCGTTAATCCCTGCACTGCACTGCACTGGTTCATCTTCTGCTTCACCATCACCATCTTCCTCTCCCCGCTCTATCAGCTTCCATATGTCCCTCGAGATCCATTCCTTGTCTCGTCTCGTCTTGCTTCTTCTTCCTTCCTAACACGGTTGTGCATGTCTCCTTCCACATCTCTTTCAAACAGTTCCAGTGTTCTTTCACGTCCGATCCTTCAGGGATGTTGCTCAATGTCTCCCACTCTGTCCTGATGACTGACTCATGTGAAGTAGTTTCATCCTCTGTACTTTCGTCCTTCAGTTCACTTTCTCTTCTGAGTGTTCAACTTCAACTGTGGTCTATCATCACCAGCTTCTCTCAAGGCTTTCAACTTGATTTTGCAGGTAGCTTCCTTGCACTGGATGGTGAGTGGGCTGAACCCACATCTGCTCCACTTCCTCCTCTGATCTTGTGTCCAGTAGGCTGACTGTGTCTCCACTTTCTTCACATTGAGATGAAGTCGATGTGATGTTTGGTGTAGTGTGTCCATCTGGTGAATGGTGAAATCAAGTGCATGTCGCTGCCTTGTGAATATCCCCGTGTTTGTACACACTACCTCCAATCACCAAGTTGCTGAATGTGCATAAGTCTGCAAATAGTTCTCCATCTTCGCTCATCATTTCACTGAGTGCTTCTCGACTCATGATCGGTTCTCCTCCTGTGTTGTGGCTTCCAGTTTCGCATTCATGTCACCCCACCCATTAGAATGGATTTCGATGTCACCAACTGTGTTGGAGTCTTGTCCAGTACTGATTGCAGTTGTTTGTGGACTTTCTCCCTCTCCACTTGGTCTGCATTATTTGTAGGTGCAAAGGGTAGGTAGCATTGTATGATTGTGACTTGCCTTCCTCTTGAGTTGAATCCATCTTGCTGTCATGATGCTGATGCGGGAGGAGGAGATTGGTTCCCACTGTATGGGAGAGAGCCTTCGATGCTGTTGGGGGCATCATGATAGCCACTGAGAAACTCAGTGCGCTCGTAGTTGTCATCTGGGTGACAATATCGGAGTAGATTATTCACTCTGCAGAGTGCACTTCCATTTCATTAGCAGATTCCTCGCAGATTCCTAGGCTGGCACTTCTATGCTACATCTTCTCATCTCGCTTGCAATCTGAGCAGCCTTGCCTCCCTGCCAGCCAGCCAGCTTCAAATATGGTGCGGATATTCCATATCTAGATCCTTACTTTCGCTTGCATAGAGAGAAGCGAAGACATCGGCCAGTTGTCTTCCCGAAGGCCTTCAATAACCGGCATCATTTCGTCTCTCCGGTTCCAGCAAGGAATAAGTGTGTTTTTATGTTTTAAATTTTCTTTGTGGTTTGAAGTATCTTTAGCGATTAGAATGGTTTTCCTGGGTGGGGTTGCTAGCCGTATGCCCAACCTTTCCTCTTTATACGAGCTTAGGACCGGCTGGTAACCGAAGAACTTGTTAACTAGCTTTCTTTGTCTTGTTCTTGTTTACATGTTGAATGTGTTGTTAACCAGTTTTGACGCTAGACGTGCAGTAGGATTTTGGGTTTAGGAACGCTCGTAATGTGCGCATAACTCTGCTTGAATATTTTGTTGACTTCACTAGGGAAAATCATGTGGAAATATCACTCGTTTACTGGAAAACCTAGTTCAACAATTCGCATCCCGAACTTTTAGTTTCCAGATGATGAGATTGTTCTTGAAAAATAAGAACCTGTTAGAATATTAGTGATGTTCATTGACTGAATCTTATTTAAAGTGGTTTGATGATTTGTGTAGTGAGAGTGAGGGCAGGTTTTCGTTGTTTGGATTTTACACGCACAACATTCATTTGACAAGGCACATACAGCTTGTTGCTTTTAAGACGTAGTCACATGCTTTCACACTAAGCAGACAAAGGTGATTCTTGCCTCTGATTTTAAGGGTCAAGTCTAGCTGGAATTACCGAGAGTAATGATTTCATGCACACCTAAGGAATTTCCATTGTTTTTCTTTTGCCAAAAGCTGATGTTGTGAAATAATTGAAGAACAGGCTGTGTGATTGTGAAGAGGAGATATAAGTCTTTTTCCGGAAGAGTTATGTCTCTGTCTTTATGAAATGTTTCAGTAATTATTTTCCCATAAAGAAGATACATTTGAGCACCCAATTTCAATAAATAACATATTACGGTTTCTGTTATTTGTTAGTACTGAAGAGATTTGTTACTATATGCCATTTTAAATCATTTACATATTCACTTGGTTGGTTATATTGATGAAGTGAACATATTTTACAGTACGAATACAGTCAAAATGATCACAAGAAGTTGGAGGAGCGTAGCGGGAACCTTCACCAAGACATTCGGTTCCATGGTAACTCCTGCGGTGTTGGTGAGTTGGAATTACTTCATGACTTTCAGTTTCATTTACAATGCTATATTGTCTTGTGTAAGTAGCATACAAACGTGGCTGGAAAGCCGAAAGTTTTGTCTAGCGATTCAAACTGTTCATGAGCATGAAAATCTAAACTGCACATCCACACAACTGTATACAGTTTGGAGCAATCTAGCAAACAAATTCTAACTCTTCAGATTAACAGAGGTTTCAATTTTGAGGTAGCATTCATCACGAAATGATATCAGTTGGAGAACCATGCATGGTTCGCCTTGATGAATACTACCTGAAATTACTAGTTTTGTCAAATTCATTGATTTTTATCCTATTGATGGATTCTGTGTATCGACAAATTTGTTCCGACTCACTCGTTCAATTCAGTACATCAAAATAATTGTTGTCATGATTAATTTGCATACAGGAACGTAGTGAAGACATACCTCACATCGCAATCAGTGCTAAAGTATTTTCGGTTAGATTGTAATCCAATACAGGCATCGCGAAAATGATGACACTGAGTTTTCCTTTGTTTCGGATCTCCATGAAATCAACAATTACTACCACCATATCAACAAATGTCCTACAAGGCTGAAATGTTTCGATAAATTCACAATTCATGTTAAAATATCAAAAACAAGAAATCCAATGAAGAGGACTCTTCATAGAATTTATTCTCGAGCTATACACCGTTGACATACATGTATATATAAAATGTATTCGAAGACTGCAATCTGTGGGAAAATTTCAGTTTGAAGAATGGGTGATAGAAATAACAATAATATTGATGGCTATAACTATAATTATATTGCTGTCTGATGGCGCAGATGTGGAATGATGATAAAAATGGGTTAAAGAGGATCTTTAGGTCATTCACATAATGCATGAATTGCCTCAGACTTTTATTTATTTCATGATGATAAGAGTGTTGTCAATTTTAGCGAGCCGCTAGAGCACACTTTGGATGTAAGACGTTAAATGGAGCTGATTTGGAAAACCAATATCAAAGTCCACTTGGATCTCATTGGGAAGGGAGAATATTTCACGTAGGTTACCTGAACTTCAATAATGTGCTTTCTTTAGAAGAATACATTTCATGTTGCAATGTTGAATATAACTGTGGAGCCCTTTCGAGCAATGAAGTTAGTCATTGCAAGTGTTACTAGAATATTCCACATCAGAATCTCATGATGCTAGACAAAATGGTGATGCATAAAATTTTGTAGAATAACTTTGAAGACGCATAAACGGTCATCCAAGGGTCTTAACTGCATTATTCATCGAAGCGAGAACACCAGAGTACTTTGATTTCAGACATGAAAGGTAGTGAAATATCGTAAGTGTAAAATGGAGTGAGAGTGGGATGTGGGTTATGTACTGACCAATAATCCCACAAGCATTGTAAGTCAAGTAAATAGGGAAATGATCGATTTGGATTGGTCAGTCTGATTGTACCTATAAACTCCAATACAACCGGAATGATGGACGTAAATAACATAGGCAAGTTTTAAGGATAGCTTGACTGTTGCAATGCACGCAGTGACAAGCAATTGGGTGAGGCAACAATCATCCTGAAGACCAACTGAGATAGGTGAAAGGCTAAAAGCTGATTGCTGAAAATTTGTTTATCAATTCAGAGGCTTATAAATGGATTTGAAAGAATGCCACATATATTCCGCATATCAAGCATCTGACAGGCGTGATCTAGGTAGTAATTCAGCCACCACTGTGTATGCCATATGACCTGTGTTACAACCACAGAATGATCTGGGACGGAGTAATACTCCTAAAACTAATACAAGTTGTCGGAGAAGGAGGTTGATCATCAAATCATTGTTCATCTGCTCGATGCCTACCATGAGCAATTCGTTTGGTTCAGTGTGGGTCCTATGTATAAGGAAAATTTTGCCACCCTGACGATCACAGAAGACGAAACAGCAAAACGATGAGAGCTAGTTGGCAGGTTATACGATCACACTGATATCACTCAATGTCTACTCTAATACATTGTACTGCATTGCACCTCAGGAATGAACTGTAAGATTTCGTAAGGTTAGAAATTTTCCTGTTCTTTATAATCCTATTGTTTGTAACGAAATTGGCTCAGAGAAAAACCTGACTGCTTCTGTGAAACAACATATGATCATGCAAAAGATTGACACAGGTTTACATTTCTGAAATCAAATAAAGCTAAGCAAGGAGATCGACACTAGAATCACTGTTCACTGAGTTGATATAGAATACGTGCAATCGTAATGATGAAACATCGACTACGGATGCAGGAAGAATTCTGTTACAATTTAAACCAGACAGTGGCAAGTGTCTCAAGTAAGAGCAGAGTTGAAGAAGTGATTCCGGCACCTTGATTTGATTGTGAAAAATAAACTGTGATCGAAAAGTCATTCACTTACTAATACTTCACCACATTTCGCCGTGTCAAGCAAGCACAGAAAATATGCAATGTCGTTTGATGATAACCAAATTGATCACTCATTATCATACTGCATTATCGTTTTGGCATAACATTTCAAAGAGGTATGCTCTCGTAGTAATCAATATATTTTGCTGACAAGAAAAAGAATTCACATAGAACGGAATCTGGATGTTAACTTTTATAACACAGTATTTCACTCCCATTTAGCAATTTATGACATTCAGAGTGTTTAATTCGAGCTGGTTGTGAGGAAGTCAATTGATTATTTGCAAAATTAGATGGGGTTACTTTGTTGGGAATCCACAACAATCTGCTATTTCCAACTGGAAGCAGGCTCGAATATCGCAAATCCACAGTCGCTGGTAAAACAAAGACCTCAGTGAAGCGATTAGTTTTATGCTTAATCACTTCCAAAACTGGAGATTTTCATTTCAGTGCAAGTGGTGTGTAGAATCAATTTCAAACTCTTGTTGAGTCACGTTTAGTTCGACTGGTGGTGTGATACTAAATCAGTACAATAACTGAAACACCTACCACATTGATAGATCACTGTATGATTTATTTATTGGTCTCAGGACTATGAATACTGATTGCTTGAGTAATATGAAGAATGCCTGAGAATCAATGGATTTGCAGGATACAGGTCTAATTCATTGTTGTGATGTATAAGAAGTATGTATATATACATTGTTCGCCTGAACGATGCCAATTGGACTTTCCTGCTTTGGATTTCAGGGTGAAATATTGGCTGGAAGAATACAAATAAACTATGCAGTATCTAACGTCACTCTTGCCTTCTTTAAAGATTCAGGGTAAGATTACTTCATTATCACTATTACACTTTTAAATCTAAATCCAACATTGTAAATATCCAAAGCATTGTTGGCACAAATCTCCTGGATCAAATTAAACATGAAATCCATATTAATCATTATGAACATAAATTTCAGTAGAATCCCAGCATGTTTGCAAGATTAAAGTAGAAATTGACGGGCATTTAGTTGTGTCCACCACAGCTTCTTCAGCAGAATATTTCACAGCTGAAAGTGACCATTATTAAAGAGCATATCAGCACTGGGTGGATGACATCCATCATTGTTTTCACTTCAGTAAGTGAGGAATAAAAGGTTTGATTTCTGTTCATAGGGAAACAAAACGCTGTGCATAATCAACTGTTGACTATTGTGAAATAGTATGTAGTCTTTAGAATATTGACACAAGATTGAGGAGACTTAGTTTATTAAAGCCACTGAGGATATTTGCATCTTGTCTTTAAGGAAGTCTAATGACAGAGCTAGTTTTCATAACTTGTCATATGAAGGTTAAGGAATTTAGGAGTGGTCAGATGGGTATGCAAAAGTACGGGAAATAACGATAAAATTAGTGAATAGGGAATGACACTGCAGTAACTGTGACATCAGTTTTATGAACAGTCTCAGCTACCCTTTCTGCAATTGAAGAGACCTGTCACAGATGTTGTCAGTGACAAGTAGTTAAGATTGTTTTCGAAGCTAGTACAAAGCATTTCGTGCCCGTTCTCATCGTGATGTCATCGACACGAAACTGTCCGATGACCTTCTGATTTATGCGAGTAATTCAAATATGGTAATCATTTTAGGATGGCATTTCAGTTCTCAGATGCTGCCGAGATGTGAATATTTGTCACCTAATAATGATAAATATTAAACATTTGGAGGTAAGTTGAAATTTCATCTTGAGTTAGTGTTCATCACAAAATGACATGAGATGCGGGACCATCACAAACGTGAGAACACTGAACAGCTGTTCCGTCCCAGTATCCGACTCCTCAGCCGTACGCACCCACGACCCAGATAGGGATTGGACTCGGGAATTTCAGGTTTCATGGTGGATGTATTAAACATTCAGCCGCTTGTTAGGAATCCAGTGGTTCACGGCTTTCTCTTTTTTCAATTCGTGATGTAGTGAGACCGTCATCCAAGGTCTTCAGTTAGCATTCGCTTCAATTCCAACTGGTTGACCCCGAGAGTTAATGCCAGTCATTAGAACTTCGACATATCCATCTAGGAGCATGCCAGTAATGAGTAATATACAACATTGAATTTTGTGCTTATTGTTCAGTGCTTCTAGGTTTTCAACGGTTCTCAAACTGCCGTCAATCTGTGATGAATACTACCTTAAAGATAAATCCTGTATTAATCTTTTAGTGATGTCAGTGACATTTTCAAAAGATGACACTTGGCACTCCTGTATGTGAAGTGGTCGGTCCCGGAATTCAAATACTAATAGGAATGTCACTCACTGTTAGGCAGGTGCGTCCAACTGACGGGTTTTGAATGGGAAGAGACGCTTGTCGTCGATTCCACTGTTAACCACTAGCCATTGTTACTATCAGAACGAAGTTGTGAGCAAATTCGTGGGATCCTCGCGTCAGTCCGTATACCAAATGTGGCCAGTCAACTCGGCTCGATCAATGAACGGGGAATTATAAGCAGTGATATAATTCTGCTCATTAAGTTTCTAGCTTCAACATGAGACTTGTAGACTGAATGTTTAAACTAACATTGCTGGATATTGGCTTGTATGAAGCAATCGAGTAAATACGATTACTTCTGACAATAAACAACAAGACGTATCAATGACCTGAGAAGGTCTACTCTTCAGTCGTATATCTCTCGTTTGAGATTGCATTGTGATAATTACTTGACTCAAAAAGATATTTGGTGCGATAATGACATTCTACACAAGAGCATCCATTAAAATTTCGCTAAATGATACAATGAGTGCAACTCACCCGAAGTACAAACAACGACCACTCTTGAGTTTAGGTACTCAACCTAGTTACCTCTAATCGTTCAGCGCATGCTGCTTTGAACTTGCCACTTTTCTACTCCAAATGATACAAACGAAACCCACTGACTCTGAAAATATCCCTCCATTGGCAAATTTATACAAATGTATAGGGGTGATTATGAGTGTGAAGGTACATGTGAGAGCTGAGAACTGCATATGATTCATAGAAAGGTCTCCGTTGAACTCCTTTCTGACATACTTTACAATAAACAACAGTAAATCCAAAACATGCCACACGATGGCAAACTGGCAAGAATATAAGGCTCAAAGAAGAACTTAATTCAATTTCATCACTACCACAAAGTAATGATCAAACCGATTGTTTTGTCAAGCTCAGTAGAAGTGGCCAGGAAAACGAAAGCCTATTGTTTTATTAATCCGTAATGGACCGTATCATAATAAAATATGATTTGATGTCCCTTTGTGTTGTCTTTAAAGATGGAAACACTTTTTAGGCAGTTCAACTCATGATTGAAAAATACTACAGTGATTGTTGAAAATATTGTCTTCGTATTGAAACTGAATTTATTACTTTTAATGTATGCTTCGTTAGTTGGTATAAAGTTAACTATCGCAAGGCCATGGAGTGGCCATATGGCAAAAATCTGGGATGCAACTTTGCAACGAAAAGTTGTTATGAATTCGCTGAAATTCAAAGAGGAAAGTGAGTGATTTAATGTTTTGATTAGTTTGTTAACCGTGTTTTGGGAACAGGTGAACGAATAAACTCTTTCCTGCGAAAAATGAGTAGATATAATAAAGCGGAATTTCGAAAGAAGTTCGGTTGTTCATGCTTTTAAATTCACAAATATACATAGATTTGATGAATTGACTGAATTCACATTCATTGTAGGAAATGTTTTATCGAAACTTAAAGATAAAGAAATTGATTCTTGGTTAGAGTATTGGTTGGATCTACAAAATTATCTATCCCCTTGAAGTCTCATATATTTTACCATATCTTGAAATACATGGCAAAGAAAGTGACTTATGTTTGCAAAACCCTGATAAGCAAATGTATGTGGTTAGCACTTCTGGAAACGAAAGGTATTCACATATGAAATTTAATCTTTAGTATAAAAATCAATGACATCATTCTCGATCTATTGCTTACAAGTAAGAGTTATCATGAAGTCGAAAAGTGCACTTTCATCTTATCTAGCCAGTATTGGAAAGTGGATACAATTCGCATGTTTCCTCTGAAAATAACGCCCTGTGAAGTCCTAATATTTGGACTGTCTCTCAACTGGCGATTATAACTGTATCATTTTTCAAGAAAGGAAGTTTGCATTTCCCGACTAAATTTCTTATTTCAAATTGTGACGCTTTAATTGCTTGCAGAATTGTGGATTAGGAATTATACAGATGTTTTCATTACAATAGTTTAACTGTACAAAGACAATAAAATGATTCTCGAATCGAAGCACTATATTTTATCAAATGTTAGTGAAACTAAATTGTATTTGTTTTACTCCTCAAGGAACCAAACAATCGCTCCATTCTGTGATAATTCTAAAATAACTTGTATGGGTCCATACGCTTATGGGATGTGCAATATTTTAATATACGATCAGCCACTTCCAGTAGAAGATCGCTTCTTTGCAACCGATCCATACGGTTCTGGTCAAGAAGGTAAATATTTTGGAGGTGAAGATCCGTTCCAAGACTACTGTCCAACACAAGTAGTAAGTTTGCCACTGTATTTTCACCTGTTTATTGTATTCATTTTTAAACGGATGAAACATTACTTGGACTGAAGTAATTTCAGTATTCCAAACAATCCTCAACTCATGAATCTAAATAATATCGTCCACTGGATTTGGTAACACATATTCCGCCTGTTGCAAAGTTTGAATTCTGAATTTCATTTTAAATTACATGAAAGTAAACTGCTACCTCCGAAATAGGTGACAGAAACAACATCTAAACAGGAGAATATGATCGAATTTTTAATAACTTGTTTTGTATTTCTCCTAACTGCATTCTTAGACTAAATTTATGGTTTACATACAGTTGATGTTAAGAGATATTGATGAGAGTGAGCTCAAACTGTCAGAAGCAAAACCTCACCACGAGAAGCACAAGCTGAGCAAAATCGAATGTATCACACAGAAAGTGAGCTATCATGCACTTCCAATTTATCAAGATGAAATGTTCAAGCTCCAGATTACATTTCAGGTTGGTATTCATCATGGACTGAAATGAATTGGAGAAACATTGGAAACCTGAGACCACTGGGTAGATATTTCGTCGTGATATGGGACTCCAGGGCAGTACAGATCCGTGACCCCGTCCCACAAGCGATCAAACCCAGTGCTTTTGGGATCCGTGGCCAGCACGTTGCTACCGAGCCACTGGTTCAAAATCCAATAGTCCATATTCCCTACTTCTATCATTTTTTCACTCTAAAATAGGAGGTGGGAAACTTTTTTATGATTTCTCAGCGTTTAAGGCACTGGTGTATACTACTTGTAAGTCAAGAGAAGAAAATATCAGCATATTTCACCTAGTGTAATAATTTGTTGAATTATTTCTGACTGACTGAATGACTGAGCTTTCGGCATCACTACAAAGGTGTTGGTAGTTATATTACTTGACTCGCGTTAATACAATGCACACAGCAAACCGACTTTGAAAGGTATTTCCATTCAACAAACATCTGATGATATTCTCTGCAGTGATTTGACATTTTAGGCTGATGAAGATACTAGTTTAAGCACAGAATACACTTTTGAGTTAAATTTTATTCAAACATGAACAAATACGTAAACGATTTCTTTCTCTAGTTCGTAACCAGTTTGGGACCTGAATACCCTGTGAATTCTTTCTGTACTCATACGGAGAACATTGAGAAATCGAGTAAGTAATGCATTGTCTTATTGTATTACGCCCTCATTTCACTGAATGGAAATCAAGATGAGAGGTTGTTCATAACAATGTTGCAATATTTAGATGAATTTGAGCTGTCGGGGGTGAATTATAAGCAATAATATATTTTTTACGAAAAGATTGATGTTAAAAGTGTGCAAACTGAATGAAAACAATTAAAGAAACTATTGACAATTTCTGAAATATTACTCCTTTACTCCACGTATCTTTCAGTGATAGTTTGAGCACTTGCCATATGTAATTACTAATTAATTGTCTTTTTAAGTCGGAAATGACATGTTGATATGGAACTAACAGAGACGTTTAGTGAAGTGGTGTATGATAAATGTATCCGTTTCCCTGTTTCGTAGAGCGAAATGAAGTGCTCTACTCCATGTCTTGCTGATCAACCTCTCTGAAATGAATCAGTCAAAAAGTTCGTGACCATGTATATGGAAACTCATCTAACTTATCCATTTGCAAGTACTTCAATACCACATTTGGAATCAGTTATATAATTCTTCAAGGTTACTAATAGTCCTAATAGCTTCTCAAACCAAACCATGCTCTAAAATTTTGATTGGTGCAGATAGTGACAGCAAGGTAGCATGTGTCAGGTGAACAAATCTTCGAAAGGAAGATAATGAATATATGAAGCAGTCAAGGAAGACCTGAGACCGTTTTGAGATAAGAATGACATAAATGTACAAGGATGTCAAAATGATAAGTGAAATACAATATTAACAGAAAGTAACAAAGCTGTGAACAAATGTTAGGTAGGAAACTGAAATGAGCTACTTGTACTAGTAAGTAGTATAAATCTGGAGACATAAAAACCAAAGACGAAGTAGATGAAGAATTAACATGACATTTTTAAAAATAGGTAAATAATTAAGGAATACTTATTAACGTTAGTCCTGACTTCTGTGAATGTTCACAAGGTTGAACTTTTTGCTACTTAGCTAACAGTGCTTCCAGCTTTCATAATCTACCACGCATGCTTTATCACGAAATTTGTTGGTAGAAACAGCATTAAATACCTAGAGATTTCAGGTATGTTCATTTACTACACGAATGTCAACGCCTTGTTTCCTAGAACCCAAATTTTGTCTTGATGGTTAATAACGACATCACCTACACATTCCTGTATCATTTGAGCATATCTCAATCCTTTCTTGCATTATTAGTGATGATATCAAACAGCCTAGCGATGAAACATGCACCACAAAATATAGAGGGTCAGATACACTATACCGTGATCACCTAAATCTAGAGCTACAAAATTTGAAAATCACTATAAATTTATCTTGTTACTGAAAACCTATGATCTTGAGTTTATAAGAAGTCTGATACTAACGGACAGTGGAATGTGGTATTCTGTTATTATACTTGTGTTCCGTTGTGAACTCACTATTTCCACATGCACTATTCAAATGAATCGGTTACTTACTGTGAAAAGTGTATTTAGAGGATGCATTACCAGTTTATGTGGAACACGTTCCCACTTTTTTGATTGGGTCTTCAGGTGCATCAGTTCAATAAAAGAAAGGATTGTTGGAATACAGATTCATGAGTAGGGAGTAAGCTTGTTGCTGACCAATAGCGTTCGAGGCCTGCAAAATAGGTATCCTAGTGCCTAATCTATAACATTTGATTCGCTGTATGCATTTCAACAATTGCTTGGATTTAAGTTGATTCGAGGCAATCAATCGGAAACCCTGAACCTAGTTATTGAGCCTGATAGCAATTGTTTGCATGGCGCGTCAGTGAATTTCGAGGTATTGCTTCTGTTTTTACATTCATACTCACGTCACTCATTGTGGCCACGTTGCCACTGAGCTATAAGGAGAACGGTTGATCGCATGCACAACTGGATTAGGCACACTGGTTTGGCACTGGAGTGAAAATTATTTCATGTCGTCTAGTGCTGGGTGGTGCCTGAATTTTATCAATTGTTCTGCGATGTGACCAACGATCTAAGAGAATCAGCATCGCAGTCCATTTCATAGATTTTATTGATATCCATCAAACAGTTGTCCATTGTGGAGAGAATCAATCTATTAGAAACATATTTTAAATGAATGTTTACACACAATGATGTGTTATTCAGTTTTTGTAATATTTCGAACAAAATTACTGCCCGTGATCACACCAATTGTTAGAATTATTTGTTCACACATTGAGGGATAGGAATTTCATTGGTTGTGGTGGGCAAAGTAATGCAGGACGCGGGTTTCATCCTATTTGTTACTCATCAGCTGGATGTACCTACACTTCACTGAGTAACGTTGTGTCTACTGAGGTCGAACAATTCTGTAGGATAAAAATAACGGAGGATTACAAGTATATCAATAAATAGTAATGACTAACACCCATTGTACAAGATTTGCTGTTGTTCCCCCTTGGCATATTGGACAACGTCTTGGTGCTTGAAGTAATAGGCACGCAGTTCGATTCTAAGTGGGAACACAATCACTCACTGGGTGAAGGTACATCCAGCTGACGAGTCACTAATAGGATGAAACCCGCTTCCTGGATTCCTTTGCCCACCACAACCAATGAAATTCCTATCCCTCAATGTGTGAACAAATAATTCTAACAATTGGTGTGATCACGGGCAGTAATGTTGTTCGAAATATTACCAAACACTGAATAACATCATTGAGTGTAAACATTCATTTGAAATATATTTCTAATAAATTGAAAGATTCCAACTGGTTAATCGCTAACTGCAAACTTAGGTGACGTCAGTTCCAATTTCAGGTTAGAAATATGTCTCATCGAAGATGCAGACATGCCTTTCTGATGCAGGCCTAGGTCAAATAGAGCTTACTACCAATCATCTCTAACGAACTAATATGCATCAAAGTGCATCACGATGGTCAGCTTCTTAGCTTGGTGGCCACGCTGAGAATCGGTCGATGAAACTCCATCAGCATTCAGGGGAGGACAACGTGAAATTGCCAATCCTTCAGTGAGTAGCCAATTCATGTGTAGTTTTTAATATGTTTATTTTTTGGGTTTCTTGACTGAATTACAGGATACAGTTGGAGTGAAGCGTAGATTTATGTCAAGGCATGTTCCAGTTTTCACATATCTTGAAGCTACTGTGGTTACGGAGCTGAGTTAAGTCTGTCATTGAAAAATGTTGCTGTCACATAATGTTCTTTGCTGTGTGTTCGTTCACAAAAAAGGCGATCGTTGTGTTCTGTGTGGATCACTTACTCACTGTTGATTGTCAGAAGTCAAAACACTCAGAAATGAGCCAATTAACATGAAATACTTCTTGTCTCTAATTACTTGGGGTTTCAAAAGGTATTTTGATTGATGGCCTCCCGGCAAAATATCTCATTCTGAGTAAATACATTAGATCTATTGTGTTCAGAAAGAAGTACTACTAAATGGTTGGTTAGTTAATCTGAGTTTTGTTAGTGTTTGAAAACTATACAATACTAATCTGAAGCTTATTTTAATAACAGAGAAAGGAACTAACTACTTTTTTCAAACGTACGGTACCAAAGCAATCTGCATAGAAAATCGACCAGACTGGGTGTATGAAGACTCGTATCAACACTCGTTGCCTGACGATTTGTTGGGAACATGTCATCGAGTGAGTTTTGCTATTTCTGTTTCATCTTAATCCCCAACACTAAACATCCTCTATTCACAAACTGCAAAATGTGACAGGATTATTTGGTTCCGTAAACAGTAGATTTAGTTCAGCTTAGTATAGGACAGAGTGTGAATAAGGACAGTTTCGTAATCACAACTGGAATGTAAACATGTTCAAATTGGTGAACATATTCCAATTTCAGGTTAGGTGTAATAGCTGTTTATATTCAGAAAGCGGGGAATAAACGCTAATCTATAATGTAATAATTTATTCTTTGGTTTCCTAAGGGAACAGAGAGCTTCAGTAGCAAGTCTCCACTGCACTCTGTTCTCTGCAAACTTTTGCACCTGGTTCCACGACAGCCCAGAATCTCTTATTTATTCCTTGCACCATCTCCTCAATCTTACCCTCGCCTCGGACGCCCAACTCGTCGCTTCCCATCTGGGTTCCACTCGAGGGTCTGGCCTGGCCTGGCGAGTGATTTCCCCAGTCAGCCTTCTCAGTGTTTGCCCAATCCATCTCCACTCCCACTTTCTCTTGCATATTTGTTCAGCAATAGGTTCTTGGTTGGTTCGTTCCCAGAGCACCTTGTTGCTTATTCTTTCTGGCAACCCATCTGATCTTCAGTAGCGAGCGCAGACAGCTGTTGACAAATGTCTGTAGTTTGTAAGAAATCCCTTTCGTGACGCGCCAGGTCCTTGAGCCATACAGAATCACTGACTTTACATTAGTGTTGAAAATCCGTATCTTGTTCCTCATGCTGAGTGCAGAAAATCTCCACACTGGTTTCAGGCTAATGAACACCTGTCTTGCTTTTCCGATCCTGGCTTTGACGTCCCCGTCTGTGCCGCCTGTAATAGAAACAGTGCTGTCTAGATAGGTGAAAGAGAAAACTTCTTTTAGACTACTCCCGTTTATGGTGGTTGGAGCTTTCTGTTGTGGTTGGTGTTGGTTGGGTATCTCCATCACCACCGTCTTCTCTACGTTAACTTGAAGTCCCATCTTCCATGCCTCCCCTCTCCTGTCAACTTGTTATTTTTTGCCTGTAGATCTTCAAGCTTGTGTGACATCAGACACAAGTCATCGGCGAAATCCAAGTCTTCTAGGTTCTTTTCACCGGTCCCGCCAGCGTATCCCCATCTTCTCGCTCCCCACTGTTTGCTGCATGATCCAGTCGACCACAATCAGGAATATCATGGGGGATAGTAGGCAACCTTGTTTCACTCCTGTCTTCACTTCGAAAGCATCACTCAGCTTCCCATTGTGAATTACTTGGCATGTGGCATCTTCATATAGTTGTTGAATGAGGCGGATAAGGGTTTGCGGTACTCCGTAGTATTGAAGCAGTTTCCAAATTACTTGTCGGTCGACGCTGTCAAAGGCCTTCTCAAAGTCGATGAAGTTGAGGTAGAGGGTTGACTGTCATTCAGTACTCTGTCCTATGATGATGTGAAGCGTGGCAATTTGATCCGCACACGATTTGTACTTCCTGAATCCAACCAGCCTGTTCCGGTCGCAGTTTTGAATCCAGTGCATCCTTAAGCCTCTCCAGGATGATGCGGGTAAATATTTTGCTTTGGGGTGGACAGGAGAGTGATTCCACGTCAGTTCTTGCAAACACTGAGGTCTCCCTTCTTCGGCAGTTTGACAAGGTAACCCTTCTTCCAATCGCCAGCTACCTTCCCTTCCTTCCAGACATTTTGTAATAGTGGTGTGAGCATGTCCGCTGTTGTCACTGCGTCTGTTCTCAGTGCTTCCGGCGAAATTCTATCTGGTCCTGCTGCTTTCCCGCATTTCAGTATTTTTTTGGCATTCAGGGCTTCGACTTTTGTAGTTCTGTGGCTGGGTTGTAGGTGGTATTTCTGGATGAAGTGCAGGTGGTGGTCGGTGCAAAAGCTTTTCGAAGTGATCATCCCATTGCACACATTTCCTCTTCTCGTCTTTCATCCTTGCACTGGTTTATCTTCTGATTCATCATCCCTCTCTCTCTCTGCTCTATCAGCTTCCATGGGTCCGTCAAGATCCAGTCCTTATCTTCTTTCTTCCTCCTCACGAATACGGTTATGCAAGTTTCTTTCCAGTAGGCAGACTGCGTCTCCACTTAGTTCACATTGAGATGAAGTCAGTCTGATTTTTAGTGTAGTGTGTCCAGCTGGGGAAATGAAATCCACGTCACTTTATGGATATCCTTGTGCTTAAACACAGTGCACCAAATCGTTGAATGCACATAATTCTGCAAACAATTCTCCATTCTCATTCATTTCACCGCGGCGCTTCTCGACCCATGATGTGTTGTCCACTCTCAGTTTCGCATTGATTTCACCCCGCTCACTAGAATTTTGATGTCGGCAAGTGGGCTGGATTCTTGTCGAGTACTGATTGCGGTTGTGTGTAGAATTCCTTCTTCTTCTTTTCATCTGCATTATTTATAGGTGCGTAGCATTGTATGATTGTGACCTTCCTTCCTTTTGAGTTGAACTATGCTGTCATGATCCTGCATTAGGAGATTGGTTCCCACTGTATGAGACAGAGCCTTCGACGCTGTTGGGGACATCAAGATAGCCACTCGAAAACTCAGTGTGCTCATGGCTATCATCTGGATGACAATATCGGAGGAGATTATTGACTCTGTAATTGGTAGTTTTGAAGGTCCACTTCCATTCCATATGCTTTCAGAAATTCCTAGCACTTCAATGCGGTACCTTCTCATCTCTTTTGCAATCCGCGCTGCCTTGCTGGTTCCAAACACGGTGCGGACATTCCATGTCCTTATGTTTACTTTCGCTTTCATCGAGAGAAGCGAAGACATATCTGACAATTGGCTTCCTGTAGGCTTTCAGCAACCGGCATCATTTCGCCTCACTGATTACAGCGGGGAATAATTTCGTTTTTATTTTTTATATTTTGTTTTGTTAGGCAGTTGGATTGTTCATCTTGGGAAAGGTAGCTTGACCCACGTTCAAACTTCCCTCTTTACCCAGGCTTAAGGACCGGCTAGTAACTAGTGAAACAGTTTACCACGCGAGGTTGCTAATCTATAATGTTCATGTATATTATGCAACAAAATACTTTCTGCTTTTTAAAATTAACCTTGCACGCTTAGAACATTTTACAGCAAAAGCGTTGAAACATGTCCCAGCATTGAATTCGGAAATGATAAACGTCAATGGATTTACGTTGATCTGTTGATTTGTAGTTTTAAATTGTACTTTTGAAACCTAATAGGAGGATCCATGTTTTAACTATTAGAGACAGTAGTTATTCTCCTCTTTCAAACTTATAGTGTGAGCCAGTTACTCAGTGGTTTTGTTCACTTTCTGTGTGCTTTTGTCACTCTTTTCAGTATGAATGTACCAGAGACAAAAGACTGGTAGTCTTGTTTAAAGACTCACGCGTAACATGTCCAAAGAATGGTGGAGAACACAGATTCAATGTAACTGACGGAACAGCTCGTCTAAGTGGAACTATAATATGCCCTAAATCGACAAAATTTTGTAAGGTATGTTTCAAAAATCTTTGCACTTATAATGAAGTGTTAAACGATATAGTTTTCTCTTGAGATGTCTTCGGTTTATATTGAGATAATTTCAAATAAATGATGATATGATCAATACCCAAAACGTTATATTGATCTCGGTGACTGGCAGATTTAGCCAACTACTGTGTAACAGGTACACCTCATACAGTTAATCACAATTAATCAATACCCAGGTTTTTCCAAACCATCCTATCCATTGTTAGTCAGGATGCCTTAAAATCATAAGTTTAGCTGCATAATATGTTCTCCTAGTGGCTTATGTGATTTCAAATAGCATTACTCTTTCTATAGATTGTGTTCAGTGACACTTTTGTTTACTAGCCTCATAGTTATTTCAACAATGTATTATGTTCTTGATACAGTCCACTAGTTGCAATGCTTTAGACCTCTACTTAACCTGAGCACACGAATTGTTTCAATGAAATATTCATGGACACAAAGTTTATTTGACCACACTTGAGAGTAAAACTCCTATCTTTCTAAAGAAAGGTTACTCAACTAACCAGCTACCTGATGTTCAAAATGCATTTGTCTGAGAAGTGTTCTATTGTACATATTGAGAACATGAATATGCATTATTTTCACTTTTTCTGATGATTGTTTACTAATTACGTTTCAGTGATTGAGCTGTTCTACGCTCGTGAATGAAGGTATTACTGACAACCTGAAGATAACCATAAGATGAATAACAGTTCAATTTTATAACTGACATATATATTATAAATTCACTGATTATCTCATTTTACTGGAATTAATGTTAGCACAAAAATGAACAAAGCAGTAAAACACTGTCTACTTTTGATAACTTCTTTCAGCTGCTTGGTTGATGCAAGATGTGAATTGTTTGTAGAAGACTTTGACATTGATGCTTCAACGGCTTCCATATTATTGACAGAAGCAACTCTGACTGAATTTTAGAGCAGCCGTTTTGCTCAGCGAAGCGAACCATAATCAGATATTTCCTCTTCACTTGACATTATTTATCGAGTTCATTTGCGAAAGAATTTCATCGAAATATCTAAACGTTTGCGTGTGTTTGAACTGAAGCAGTTTATACGTGATACATAAATCGACATTCCTGTTATATATACAGGCTGCAGTAAAGGATGCGAATCTTTCATGTAGTCACTGTCAACTGAAAACTTTGCTAGAGTTTATAAAGTAGACTAGGATTAAATGCTATTTGGACAAGTATCTTAAATTGAGGGATTCATCTGTCCTCTGACAGAAGACTTCTGAAAATCATCCGAAAGCCGTTTCTCTACTCACACATAATACGTACTTGGTAATCATCGAGATTTCAGTCTGGTACCGGTAGCGTCTGAGACATTAGCTGTCACCACGCTTACAGGCTGTTCAAAACACGATTACGGCTGATCCTTGAGAACGAGGCTAGATCACTTTCGCATTGTGAATACACTGATCATATTTTCGAATACAGTCAGAAATATTACAGGTCGATGATCATAGTATTCTCCGTTAATATGGCCGCCTTCAATCAGTTTCAACGGGATTATTTCTGGAATTGTTTGCTATAGAGGAGTTTCCGTATGCACTTTGTGAACATCTCGAGGACGCTGTGTTTTATAATACCTGAAATACAATGGGGGCATACATCCACTTCTACTCATTGTTACAAACTGACAGTCCAGTTGGGTACAGAAGTCGTTGTTGCCATTCATGATGTTCCTGATATGACTGTGAGGTAGGTGCTTGATCGTAGGGTAAATCTCCTGCCTGCTGAAAAGCTTTTCGACCTTACGAATGCGAACGATAGAGTTTCACTGTGCAATAACAGACAGGTCACTCAAACCGCATGCAGTCAGTCGGGAATCACTGCTTTCACCGAAGGATTGTTCCTTGCATCATTGAAGTGAAAAGTGTTTTTTTAACAAGATTTGTCACACACTCCACATACAGCCGCTGGTTGGTCAGTCGACAGATGTTACTGAAACGCATGATGACATTGGAAGACGTATAAGTGATGGTGGAGGTATAACTGGTGCAGTTTGCAGCCACATTCCACAGATCAGCGTAGAATATACTAGTGTAAATCACCTTTGGTACCATTATGACGTTAAACGTGAAGTAAACGAATGGATATACAGTGCGTGGAAACCTTGGTCGATCAGAGCTGAGGATGTTCCACGACTCTGCCTGTGCAAGCAAAATAGTCTCCGTCAGTCTACTCACATCTGAGAAGCAAGTGTGTGTGAGCAAGAGGAAGATCGTCATCTTTGACATGGGATTACCTAGAAACATCGGTTTTCAAGGATGGATATGTGGGATTAGTGTCATCCTAGTGATTTCTGCATCGCTTGGTGTTCACTTTCACTGGAACTGGTAGGAAGAAACGAAGAGTTGGCCTGCATTTATCGCATTGACTGGTACATTTATGTCTCTAAGTGGACTTTTTCGGTGCGGCTGTTGATAGTACTCTAAATGATAGCTACCACTTTGATGTGGTCGACGCGTTAACACATCACAATTATGCCACGAGAGACAACGTCTGGATCGCTTGTTCTCTCTAGGTTCTACCATCCTATGAATGTTTGCTGAAGAGTGTTGGGATGAAAACCAGTTACCGCTTCAGTGTAAATTGATACGACTTGATGGGATCGAAGGGTGAATTCATACTGCTATCCGGTGGGAGTTCAACAGCAGTAAGACGTTCCACACAGATGATCAGAAACATTCCCCATAACAAGGCCACTCCAGCCTGAAGTGTGCTCTTCCGATGCCATCTGTTTGTATTGGATGTTTCTATCTGCCATTAGAACAATCACATAGCATACCAACAATCCTAAAACGGCTGTGTGTGAACAGCCTCAAGGAGATATCCTATGGGCTCTGTGGTTGCACAAATATTTTCATTGTTCAGGCACCCTGCAGAAACATCAACGGTGAAAGCAAATGGAAAGTGCCACCCACCCATATGGTCCCAGTTAGAAACAAAATACAGTCAGACATAACACAGCATCTCTACCTTTCTCCTCTCTTTCGACTTCACCTCTTGATACCCGTACAACGTCACCAATCACCGTGTGACCACTACAAACAATCAAAGTCAGTGAAACACTACCCATGGTCTCCTAAGACCTCACTTTCAGTTTCAAACTGGCTTCGACAAAGTCACATAGATGCTAACAGAGCTTTCAATGTCATTAATCGTGTTCCGAAAACGACACCCAGTGTAGCTCGCCAACGTCTGCTCAACTTAGCGGAGGCTGTCGCAATATGATTGATCAAGGCTGAACTCTGCATTCAGAGAGAACATGTCCAAGCACTACTTCTCCCTTGGCCCTCAGCTAACTAACGGCCACTCCTACCATCTTAATCGTTATCTTTCTATTCATTATCAAATCGTTCTTCTGCATATGCATCATCACAATATTGACTAATTTAAAAAGACAAATCCATATCCCTACATTCCCTAGATCTCACACCATTTTGAAAATGTAACTGCCCATAGCATAGCTTGTTTTTATGTTGTACAAATGCATTTTATGATTGTGGAACCCAAAGAGAATTTATTCAAAGGAATATTCTTTGTTCAGATTGTTGCTTTTTATAAATGTTGAGCTTAGCTGTATGTCTTTTTAATAACTGGATTAAGTCTTCATCTTAAGATTACACTTTTTGATTCCCCTCATACGGTAGCGTGATGCAGACATCCTTCTTCGAGACAGAATACTGATGAGTTCGCACCGTTGAGCCGTTCTTATAACGGTTGCTGAACTTCAAGGGATATGCATTATCCATGAGTGTCTGTTAAAAATTTGAATTTCGTTTTTCAGATCCCTATATTTTCCAAATCCTGTATTATCCTAATTTATTTATTCTACAAACACCACATTTTCATTCATTTTATAAAATGCCTTGACAAGTAAATGTGTGATCAGAGTGTTCGAAATGTATTGTGCGGATACACCAGGTTTCTCAGATAACCTCTGTCTTCTTATTGCTCTAAGTAAATTCGTCAATCAGACTGATTGTTTCAAATTAGTAAATGTGCATGAAGGTGAGCGGACAAGGTTGCTAACTGATGTCCAGTCAGAAGATATAAGGAAATAAGCAGCCAATGTGATCGCCATTTGAGTACAACTTTTGAATGTGAATACCATTGGCAAGGAGGAATTTCATTCATTGAAACCTATGCCATCTGAATTTCCGAAGCTATATGCATTACCAAAGATTCTTATCTTTCATGTGTCGTTCCCGCACACCAAAACTGGTCAAAATGTTTCGTCCAGTTTGGAACAAACTCTGTAAGTTTTCTGCTGAAAGAGACTTTTCAACTTGTTGACTGTCTCAGTAACGCGAACGTCAAAAACAAGACCATGTACTCTTTCAACGTAAACTCTTCATTCACTAGAGTGTTGCTGTCAAAGACTATTGACATTCTCTATGACTACATATCTTCTGCAAACCATCTATTCCTTACTACTGCGACTTTTCTGAGGGAACCAACAAAGCTGCTTTCACATTTGAAAGTGAACGCTTTCGACAAGTTGACGATGTATCTGCCGGGGATCACTTGAGACCATTAGTGGCTGATATCTGTATGCCACATATTGACTATCCAACTGTCGATTTCATCGCTAAAGTTCCTCTTTACAAGAGGTGTGTCGATGACTTCACAGTGATTTGTGAGAAGCATGAGGATTTGCTTTGTCTACTAAAAATATTTAACACCGTGCAAACTCAAATCAGCCTGACTCGTGAGAAAGAGAATAATAATCTGCCATTCGTGGACGTACTCTTGAGTCGACAAGCTGGTGGTACAATAAGATGATCAGTCTACAGAAAGCCTACATGGGCAAGACAGTATCTCGATTTTCACAGCTTTGTCTTATCCAACACAAGCGAGGTGTAATAAAATGGCTGTTTTATGGGATCTACCATATCTGTACATCAGATACGATGGATGATGATATCAAGTTGCTGACCAAAACACTCATGGAGAACGGATATCCATTGAAGTTTAAAAGCCAATACAGAAGTCAGGTAGTGCCAAAGACAGCTCTTTACACCGTACCCAAACGAAGTGTCCACATCATTTTACTGTGTAGAGGGGAGACGAATGGCATAAATTTGAGATGTAGGCTGACAGAAGCCATTAGGAAAATATTATGCAGCTATACTTATGATTTCAAGGCATCCTGACTGACAATGGATAGGATGGTTTGGAAAACCGTGGGTACTGATTAATTGTGATTAACTGTATCAGGTGTAGTTGCTGCACAAGGGGTGGCCGTCGTGTCCCAATGGTTTAGTGGATAACTCTCTAGCGTATGAATCGAAGAGCACCGGTCTGAAGCCTCAGTGGGAACATCATCACTCACTGGGGTGCAGGTACATCCAGCTGACAAGTCACAAATAGGATGGAATGCGTGTCCTGTATTACTATGCAAGTCAGCGAGATCAATATCAAGTATGTTCAGTTTATGTTATCCCGTCAAATCAAGCATAAACAAATGATAAAATAAGTAAATATTTCGTACTATTCCTTAACGTTTCCATCCTGTTAGGAAGATCCTTCTCAAGATTATCAATCTGACATTAGGTTTTCAGGTTAATAATAAAGTTTGGTAGAGAAGGTAGCCTTCATGCTCATCCAACTGCATCGTGATACGGAACGAAGAACATTATAATGTAGGTGAATGAACAATGGAATTGGTCAGAGAGGCTTTCGCGAGCTGTGCAAATAAAGTGGAACGAAATTAGGGTGGTGAAAAGCACACAGGAGTTGTTAGGCACTTGGGTGATGTTTTAAAAATTACGTTCAAAC